GTATATATTTAGAAAGTTCTTGCCCCCCCCCCCCCCCCCCCCCCGGACAACCGTTCCGGATATCGAATCTGTCGAGCATCATGAATTTTGTAAGACACGAAAAACCGAAGGAAAAATGCCACGAGCTCGGTCGCACGATGCATTCGGGTTTATTTCGAGCAGCGCGGAATGCAACAGACGGAGAGTGGAATTCTTCTGCCCTCGTCTCTGCGATTTTATTTTCGACACCGCGCGAATATCTTTCCGCCGATTCTCGTTTTACGCGTTAAGTTTTTTTTAATTCATTACAAGAAAAAAAGAAGAAGACCAAATATATATAAAATAAGAGAAATCAGAAGCCGATTTATTAAAACCGCTGAATCGCGCTTTTCCGTAGACTACTTGAAAATGAAAGAGAGGAGATGCAAGGAGAAATGGAGAGAGGAACGGGAGATTATTCTAATGTGTAGTTAAATGCCCGCAGCCTCCACTACAGGAAATCAGGAGTCCTAAATAAACGCATGGCCTTTAACCCATATTAACCTGTCGTTATAAATTTGTAATATTATTAAATCTATCATTTCTGGATATATGTATAAGCATTGCCTCCTGATATTCATGCTCTCCGTACCATGTTATTTAATGAAATTATACGTTGTGTGAAAAATTGATTACAACTAATTAAAATTCTGGTTATTAGGGGCTAAGAAGGCCGCGAAAGATCACCTCGTGTGTCCATCGCCCGGTGAGCCACGCGCGCAGCCCATTTGAATAACGGTGCCAACGGCACCACTAACGGTCGCGTGGTGCTCGGGGGTTGTGATGGCGGAGCCTACGGGCAGGGCCGTCTGGCCTCCTGTAGGCAGATGGCCCAGGGACAAGGAGATCCGCGCGCTACGCCCTTGACTGCAACCAGTCAGGACAGATGTGTGATTCTCGTTTCAGATGAACGAAGCAGGGAAAATTTACAAACGGACCTATCTTATTCGTAAATCAAATCGTCACCTTCCCTCCCTCCCCAGAATAATACTATTCACATTTTTATCCTATGATATCGCGACGCCGTAGATATTAAGATCGTCTCGCGTGCCCTTCCACGCCGACTTGTTATATTTAAACAAGAAAAAAATTTCAAACACACCGGGAGAGAGAAAACAAGATTGCCTGCCCTTTGTTGGGAAACGTAGCGTGAATCGACTCTTGTGCCCGTCGCATCATATCTCGTGACAGGAAATAATCCGCCGTAACGAGGTAATAGTCGCGCCGTAAATCGTTAAAAAACGAAAAGTAGGTTCAGGGGGAAGAAAAGACGAGGCGTACCTGTATCCCATGTCCTCTTCATATTGAGCGGTTGCTTGGCTCTGCTGTTGTTGCTGTTGTTGTTGTTGCTGCTGCTGCTGCTGATAGGCGGTCTGCTGTTGAGTAGTCGTGGCGGTTGTCGGAGCAAGACTTCGTGATATGTTACTGCCATTGCTCAGCACCTACGCAACAACACGTGATGTGTAATTAAAAGCTAATTAAGGATGACAAGTCCAATTGTGAAAACGTCCGACAAAGTCGGCTGTTACACAATTACTGTCAACTAAATCGATATTCCATGATAACAAATGTTATCCGACGACGACGTTCTTCGTTCGTTTTATCGATATCTTAATAAACATCAATTATGCCAAAACAAAGAGAATATAAATTTTTTTTTTTCTCGACATTATAAACTATCGATAATAAATTGATCCAAGTTAATTCTAAAAAGTGAGATCGTGAATTACATCGAGTGCCTGGAGCATCGCCCGGGCAAAGGCGTCGGCGTCGTCCTTACTGGAGAAATTGAGCCCGTAGACCTGCTTATTGTCCCGCCACTGATGGAACGTGACCGTCGCCTGATTGTACTTGAGTCCCTTGAGGATCGCGCAGTTGATGACGATCTCGTGGTCCTGCAGCTTCCTACCGACCACGCGGAACGTATTGTTCACCTGATGGTGATAGAGCTGGACCTTGGACAGGCCGGACGAGCTGCCGCTTGGTATCCATTTCTTGTTCACGTCATCGTACACCATCACCGACGCGCGGGCGGATGATATGCTCACTTCGCTGCAAACGAAACAAAAACATTGGTTCTTTGCGTTATAGTCAATTAACTTCTTCGATCGTCTGCAATTAATTTTTCGCGTTTTTCGTTTCTTTTTTTTTTGCGTTCTTCGTTAAATTACAAGGGAATCGTTCTCTCGGTGTTAAAAAGATGTCAAGGTTGACGATGATGTTTTTCTAATTTAATCTTTAATGTTTTAAAAAAATTATCCGTGCATTTCTAAAAAAAATTATCTGTGTATTTTTTTAAAAATTATCCATACATTTAAAAAAAAAATTATCCGTGTATCTTTTTTAAATGCACAGATAAAAAAAATATGTTCTAATAATTTAAAGAATATATTTAAAAATATTCTAGTACAGACAACAATTGTTGACATATCTAAAGAATTAACAAAACAATCCGGGTGATTATTACAACCGAATTAAAAGCAATTCACACGGTTGCACCAGAATTACTTCCTTCTTTTGCTGTGCGTGAAAGTGCGTGGCAACCAGGATGGTAATTCGCGAACTCGGGAAAAGAGACAGATTATGCCAAATTTCTCCAACATATCCCAATTTTCATTTTTTCCAATTTCTCGCATCTTGGAAAGATTCACTTTGCAATCATTCATAAGCGAACAAGGTGAAACGCGGACAGTACAAGATTCTTGCGTGGTTCGAGACGAGACGAGAGTTGGCCGATCTAGCGATAGAGCGGGAGAAGGCGAAGGACACAAAGGAGAAAATCGACGTGAGCTGTGTACCATGAGCGGCTGTCCTGCTGCCAGGAAGATCGTTGCTGGCGATAGCTAGTAGTACGCTGCTGCACGTTCGCACGTTGCGGCAACGCGGGGCCCTCCTGCATCATCGCGGGGGGACAACGCATCCTGGGGGACGTGTAAGCGTCCCGATCCTCGGACGTGGGATAGGCCTCGTAGGACCATCTCGTCCTGTTGATTTTGAAAGACGAGCTCGCGCGAGAATCCCACATGGTCGTTCGAAGGGAGAGCTTCCTCCTCCCCCGTTAGGTGATCATCTTCGTCTCACCGATCCCTCCCTTATCAATGACGTTATCGGAGCAAGATAAATCGCGAGTCGATAAATACACGGCGTTCGTTATAGATTTAATTAAACATCTGCGATCTAGGATTCGCGGAAGAGCTCGCTCGCTCGCTCGCTGTCGCTTTCACTGGACTGAAAAGCAACAACTCCCGCGCTCCGTTCGTTGGCAAAACGGGAACAGGACGAGGTAGGATGTGGCGAGATACCGCCACTTCCTCGACCGTTCTGTCCTGCTACTGTGCACAGTCGGAATAGAATGATAACGCACGATCGGCCACAACCAACGTCCGTCGCGATCCATGTGTCGAGGACGTTTGCGTTGCAACGCGAGAGATAACGCGAAAGAGAGAACGGATAAAAGAAACATCGTCGATCACTTCCCCCGATATTTTCGCGGTCGAGTCGGCGTGTCATAAAAAATTGTCAGGTGTACGTCAAAAATATCAGCTGTTTTCTGTCATCTCTCTGTCATTATTATTATTATTTGGATTCAATTTCTCGAGCGATCGTTCCTCCTTCGTTTCGATAACCAAAAATTTCTTCGTTATACGCATTCTACTGTCAAACCTCGCGATTTCGGCCAACGATACTGAAATATGTATATACGGCGGATTTGTCAATTAGCGCTACCGCGTTACGTATATGGGTCAGAGACCGAACGGCCTTGCATATGATAATTGCCGGCCCAAGCGCGCAAACGCGTACGTAATTTAACGCATGCATTATTATAGGGATCGTCGAGTTTTTCCGACAATTTTAATACAGATATTAAAATACTCTTTTGTTTATACAAACAACGAGAATAGAGGCTTAAAAATCTCATCGTGATACTTGAAGGAAAGTTTCTTTCAACACGAGTATCTTGTTTTGAACTTTTGGACTTTCTGAAAGATGTGATCGCTTATGTGCGACACGTAATGCACTTATCACACGCCCTTCTTTCAGAATCACGGACTCGTCGTCGCGTTCTCGATCGCGTGCACGGATTTATCACGCTCTGGTCGGATGCCGGAACTTTTAGAGCATAAAGCGCGAAACGCATTGTATCAGCAACCGGAAGTATAACGTTGAATATCTCTCTCTCTCTCTCTCTCTCTCTCTCTCTCTCTCCTTCTTTCTTCGACCGGTATACATAGATCAAATGTTTGAGAGCGCCGTGTGTTACGTCTGTAAAAGTGGAACGAATGCGTTCCGGAGGGCGTTGCCTTAGATCCTCCTCTCGCAGGTATATCTCGCGTAAATCTAAAAACGGCGTAAATCTCAATCGTGTGATATGTAACCGACACGTAGCTCGTCGTATGCGAAAACAGCTCTCACCCCGCTTTATTTCCAGCAATGCTCAGAGAGCGTTAACCGTTAACCTTTCACCAAACAAATGAAATCAAATGAAATAATCACTCGATACAATCGTATCTTGACCATCCGAAAAGTCTCGCGATCGGACTCTCTCGATAGGCATCGCAAGAAATATTGCGTTATAATTTCGCGAGCCACTCACGTGAAATAGATTTCAACGTCAAACAATAATAAAAAAAAAAAAAAATTAAATTGTGACGTAAATTTCTCCTCGGGATTGATAAAATATTCGTTGGCCGAAAATGTTTTAATTTAGTTGAAATATTTCAAATTTTTAAAATTTATATAATTTGTAAGAACAAAGACTATCCTTCTGAAGCGAGAGAAATGTCGCTTTCACGTGCATAATTTTTTAATGGCAACTTTACGTCGCGGTTTTCGTCGCGTTTTTATTATCTCGCTGCATTGTACGAGACGACGGAGAGAAGAAAAGTATTCTCTCTCTGCGAGAGAGAGAGGAGAGAGGAAGCAACGAACGAATGAAATGACGGCACACGCGACATTGGATATCGAATTTATTCTTCTACGTGCGAGCACGCATTTCGTTTCGCTTTCATACTGCCGGTTAGTTTATGCGAGCCTCGTCGACAATGACGAATCCGTTCGGTGACGACTCCATTATTAATTCTCGGCGGACTTACGCGCGCGCGAACGATACGTGTCCTATCAAAAGATGACGTTTGGATCCTGAACGTCGAGCCCTGTCACGTCTTGGACGAGATTTGGTTTATCGAAGCGATCCGGGCGACAAGCCAGAGAGAAATTTATACGGACTTTCAGAGTCACTACGAATTATTGTCAGCCTCCAAATTCCGTGCGACGTTCCGATATCCCTAATATCTCGGTAAAATATTTTAGTCGTCAAAAATTTCGATAATTCTATTTATTAATAATTATTAATTCGCTTAATAATCATTAATTATGTCCCTTTATTTTTTAAATTAACAAATTTTATTAATTGCAGGTACTTTTTAATGCTCAGAAAGACATATGGCTTTGTGATGGCTTCACCTTGAGGAAACGAATATGATACCCAAAAGCGACATATGGCAGGTAGCTGTGCATCGACGTTAATTGGATAGGTAAGTCAAGCTTCGACACTCGAGTAGTCCTCGGGACTTTTTTTTTGCGACACGAGCCTTAAATCTTATTCTTATAGATTCAAATCGATCGTATAGTCGAAAGCGCATTTTCTTTTAATCTCGATAATATAATATAAATATAAATAATATAACATTTATAGAGAGATTCTATCTTTTTTCATAAAACGTTTCGTTACACGATTGTATTTTAAAAACAAATTTTTTTACAATTTTGGAGTTAATTGTTCCATTACGTTTTATATAAGTAAAAATAAGTATAAATAAGTAAAAAATAAGTATAAATAAGTAAAAATAATTTTGATCAATTTTATTTTATTTTTTTCATAAGGCAAGTTAGAGAATACGTGCGAAAGTATCTGCGAATTTAA